CACTAGCGGTACCCTATCCACGACATCTCGCGTCAACAGAAACACATATTCAGCGCAAAGCGCGCTAAACAGAAATTGTTCAACACTTCTTTCACTAGTGCATCCACGGAAGTTATGTGATTTTTTGATGCGATACCACGAACTTGTAAAACAATTTATAAACAGCAATATGTAATTTGATAATAACCAAAAAGCATTAGAGCAATTACGTGATATATGCGTATGTTCTTTTGAGATAAACTGTCGTTTGTAAGCATGAGGATGTCTGGTTTGCTTGGAGAAAGTTTAATATTTAGACCGTAGATGCAAGTATAGATCTGTATGAACTAATTATAGAGACTGGGATTCTGTTAATGGTATCATGAAGCTGCGTGTAACATAGAAGCCTCATTAAAAATCAAATATCTTAATATATGAAATTTTAGACTAGTGAATAACTACCTGAATAACTTGGCTGTTATTGGTGATAGGAAAAAATGCATTAGGCCAAAAATTATTTGGTATCGAGGGGCTGATCATCCGATGTTACTAGTTTTTTGATAGTTGTAGGCGTCAAGGAGATATGAAGTTCATCTCTGTTTCTTTAAATGGAACGGTATGTTTGTTTACTTACATTCTGATAGAGTATTTCAAGACGAATACAATGACCTATTGGAAAGGTCTTTCGTGGTATGGGTTAAGCCAATTGTGATGGAAAATAATTTACTTTGAGGAAATGGTCGAACACTTCCTTGCTGTCTCTGATTGTTCATATTATTACTTCATCTCTGTCTCGTAATCTCTTGTTATGGCTCGTTGAATGGAAATAAACATTCAATCACGCTGTACGCTTCATCTGTACATACTATGATTAGTCGTTTATGAGTTATGAGTTTATTCTCTAGTTTTTATTTTATTTTTGCACACTAGGAACATTACTTTTATATTTTCGTAAATAAAATATTTTGTAAACAAATAAAGGTCAACTATAAAATTTATTTCAACCATTTCAAAGCTGTTTAAGCATTAAAATTAGGGAGAATGAAATTGGGAACACTGTTTTTGAAAAGTGAAAAATGTATTTTCTTGCATTTGTTTGCATGAACTTTACTGAAAAAGTGATAATAGCGTTTTGTAATTAAGATTTCAGTGTGACTATACAATTTTTGCCTGACTATAATGTAAATTAGTTTTCGAACATGAACGAAAAATCCTTAGGGTGCGAGGGGCGAAATTTGGCCCCTTACTCTACTGTTCACTTGTTAATGTAATCATCGTCTTGAAAATTATTTAGTTATGCAATTTTTTCGAAACATTTTATACCCCAAAAAGAAAAAAAAAATAGATATTAGAATCAAAAGGATCTTTCAAACATAGAGATTATTTGATACGTTCTAAAGTCACTGGCACAGTATTTTAGAACGACTTACGTATTCACGGTTTACCTAGGAAAATAATATTGACTAACTAATTTACTACCGAATTTCTGAATGGACACAAATATAAGTAATTTTCCCACCGATTACGAAATGTATATCTAATTACCTAGTAACCAGTTTAGTTATTAGACACCTACAGCATCGTCTGTTTCGCGATGATTGATTCAGTAATTTGATCGCTTATTGATTTTCAATAATCCAGCCTGCTCTTTCGCTACGGAACATATTAAACAACGATTAATCATGCTTCCCGTCAATATTTATTTTCCTAATAAATGGACTCGTATTTGCGTTCCCTGAACCGAAATTTTATTACACGTGAGCAATATGAATTTGACAGAAATTACTCGATTTTCGCGTGTCGAGTTTCTGAAATGTAATATAACACGAAAAGTGGTTTGCATATTTGCAGCAAATATTCTTGTTGTACGTGAAACGTGTTCAAACATAAATATACAAGAAATAATAGAAAAAAGTGTACATTTTATAAAACATTTCAGATTTATTGTATGTCTCGTTGATATTCGTTTTCTTCTAAATACTGCGTGAAGATACCTAATGTCGCCTATCAAAAGTTAAATCGCTTTCAATTGAATTACAATTGATATTTTTGTATGTAATTCGTCTCAAAATAAAGAAAAATTATTCGCGTTTCATGTAGCGAAAGTTAGAACCGTTTAAACCTTTTTAATTGACAGTCAAAAGTACATAAGATATGTAAAAATTGGGTTATGAAGAAAATGTACCTAATATCGACTACTCCAGAAATATTGATTAAATACATGTATGAGTTGTTACGAGCCAGGGCTAAGCGGCTGCGAGAGCCGAGGTAATGGCGAGTTTGGTTTTTTAGAGTTTGTTACGTGGACGAACCTGGGGCCTATTTCATTACAGGGAGCCAGTAGGATTGTTAGTATGGGCTTCGTAACTTTTAAGAATTCGGTACACTTCGAGCGGTAAAAGTGTGCCTTTGTGGGTTCGCTTCTAGCTGGGAATTTAGATGTTATTCTAGAGTTGAAATGAACAAAACTGAATTATAAATATATAAACGTATAAAAGTATATTCAAGAAAGTGAAGGTTTTACAAATGTTACTGTAAGTCCTGGTCGCGGAAGCTAATTCCAACGTTCTCAGTTGTCACGCACTGAGACATGCTGGGATTTGCTGTACAGAGTTTAGCTTACTTTAAAAAATGCTTGAAAGGGACTTTAATACCCGATCTCACTAGCTAGACTTCTGGTATGAGTATGATCCGCAGATGAGCTGTACGCGTCCCTTTTTATACCCCGAAAATCGAGTCTAAAAGTAGAGGGGGAGACGCCTGTTTTCCAAGAAAATCTGGCCACGCCATAACACCCCGCAGGCAATTACGTAATCTGGCCGGATGCATTCCAACTCCTGATAGGGTTAAGAGGTCACGAGAGTGTCTTCGTACGTAACAGAGTTATTATATGTATATGAGTTTTGAAAGCCATTATCATATGCATCTTTATTATTTCTTGCTATCGAAATGTGTTTTGAATAATTTTATTAGGATTAAGTTTAAAACTGTTTTTATTATATAAATACATAAATAGGATTTTTTATATGTACATATGTTTTTTATTAATTAGATACCTCTAATAGATATTCACAGATTTTTTAGATTTACTTTGTCCGCATGTGCTATGAAATTGTTGCAGTCCAATAAATTTTTACACTATTAGGATTCACTGAAATATGTCTCTTTCTTTAATTGTTGATCGCATAACACTGCTATCACAATATGTATTCCTGCATATGGTTAGGTACTTTTTCACTCTAGGACTGATAAATTTTAGTGCTTGCATTGCGAGATATAACGAGTGGCGGTGTTAGGAATATGGACGGTATTAGGTATCTTCATCCTATAGGTTTCTGTACTAAAACAGAATAGTCAAACAATTCTGACTTTCGAATAATTAATATTTGGTGCGTAGTGAATTCATAGAAAAAATTCGTTTTGTATCGAATAAGATGCAGATTAAATTTACATTAATCATTTCTGTAAGTATGTATACATATTTTGTATACGTACATGACTATTGTAGTTTATATAAAATAAATCATGTTGCATACAGACATAGACATACGTGTTCAGGTATTTGAATGAAGCAGTGGAGTCAAAGCAGTAGGGAAAAATATATGTAAGAATAATCATTTTGAAATCTACATACGAAGATGTTCCACATTGTTTTTATTTACTTATTTATTTTTAATATTCAGTTTCCATCGTTATTGTCCTGTATTATAATTTTCCTTTGATTCTCATTTCATACTAAGCTATGAATTATTAAAATATTTAAAAATGAAATTTAATTAAATAAATATGCATTAATGACATATAAATATAAAAACTGCGACAAGGAAACGAATCAGTTGTGTTCAATCATACGAAAATATAGAAAAATTACATTTACGAGACTACCTTTCATAGCAATTCTCCTTTGAGAGTTACTAAATCTCATTCAATTTACTTCTTTCTATTGTTTATTAAAAAAGAAAGATGTTACATTTCTTTTTTGTTCAAATACATATTATTCAATAAATCCTGGCTGATTTTATGTATCTCATTTTCATTCTTCTCGAATTTCAAGATTTCGTTCCAATAGAATTACGTTTCTATTGTAATTAACATGTGAAATATTAACATTAAAGTCTGTCGGTAATAGTGACTAATGGTACGCAACTCTAGGATTGCAATAAATCATAACCTATGACGTTTTTTTTTGTCTTTTCTTCGACCGGTTAATGGAAAGTGGTAACAAGACTGTGGCAATAATTTTGCAAACGAATTGAGCTTAATGGTCAAGCGCTGCCAGTAAATCGACCATAAAACGAATATCGATTTTACGCCGAAACTGCAGACTATTGAAAGTTGTGAGAACAGAAAGGCGAACGTATAATTTCCATGGTACTTGGTGTAACGATCGGCCTCAGATGCTAAACCATTGAAACAAGCAGTGAGACCAGTCAACTTTATACGTAATTTATTCAAAACAGACACGAGAAAGGAATTCCAATTGCATCTACAATTTTACTTTCCTCAATGAATCCCATCCTGTCCTATTATAACTTCTTAACCTTGTTGCATGACACAATGTATAATACAATGTTGCATCGATGAACGGCAAAAAACTAAATTCACTACATTTCACTCTGACTTCTATGTATCTGTCGTCTAGAACATTTTACGCACCAGGGATCGATCTTAATTTCTCTTTGAACCAGGTAGAAAAATCAAACTTGAATTCAATTCAAGCTTGAAACGGAAATTTAGCGTTAATTCGATTTAACATTTACGCAGGGCCGAGTGTTTTCGAACCTGCGTAGACCAAAGTTCCCACTGTTCCTTAAATGTTTAACGTTTGATCTAAAGAATGTTGGAGATTTATTGTAACAAAAACTGAATTCACGTAGAGAGATTAGTGACTGATAAAAACATTAATGCTTTTCATTTAATGAGTCAACATGAACGATCGGACATCTATCGGAGAATAGAACAAAAATAATATTTAATGTAATACTTTTGTTATGCATATACATAACGAAATTCTTATTACGATGGACAAAAATGATTGTATACTTGGGACGTATGAAGGTAAATGGTTTCGTCCATACCGAGGCTTAATCAACTTATATTACTTGAGACACAGAGTACACAGTAATCGATTCTACACACTGTAGAAGAAATATTGTCTATTGGTATTCTATTGTATTCTTTTTAAATTTGTATTGGGTTGGCAAGAAAGTATTTTCGGTTGTGACACATAGATAGCGTTGTAAGCGTTTTGAAGGACTCCTGTCTGCATTATGGTTTTTTCCTTTTGACATTTGATATCAGTCACATTTAGGTTACTTCAGAAGCAAGTTGTGCAAATTTTTGTTTATAGCTGTTAGTTCAGGGTCAATTTTAACATGGAGTGCAAAAACGAACATTTTCGGCATATTTTACTCTTTTATTTTCGTAAAGGAAAGAAAGCTGCTGAGGCCCACAAAGAGATATGTGAAGTTTATGGTGTTGATTGCATAACAGATCGCACGTGTCAGAATTGGTTTAAAAAATTCCGTTCTGGAGATTTTTCACTCAAAGATGACCAACGTTCTGGTCGACCTACTGAAGTTGATGATGACCAAATCAAAGCCATAATTGAAGAGGATCGTCACATAACTGTTCGAGAGATTGCAGAGAGGTTAAATGTATCGCATACAACAATTGAAAATCACTTAAAATGTCTTGGACTCGCTAAGAAGCTCGATATTTGGGTTCCGCATATATTGAAAGAGATTCACTTAACACAACGAATCAATATTTGCGATATGCATCTCAAGCGCAATGAAGCCGATCCTTTTTTGAAACGTATCATCACTGGTGATGAAAGATGGATCATGTACAGTAACATTATTCGAAAACGATCATGGTCCAAGCGTGATGAACCAGCATAATCCACATCTAAAGCTGAATTGCATCAAAAAAAGGTCATGTTGTCAATTTGGTGGGACTACAAGGGTGTGGTGTATTTTGAGTTGCTTCCAAGAAACCAGACGATCAATTCAGATGTTTACTGTCAACAACTATTGAAACTGGATGAAGCAATAAAAGAAAAACGGTCAGAATTGGTAAATCGCAAAGGAATTGTGTTCCACCATGATAATGCAAGGCCTCACACATCTTTAGTAACTCGTGGGAAATTATTGGAGCTTGGTTGGGAAGTGATGTCGCATCCCCCATACAGCCCTGATATGGCACCATCTGATTACCATTTATTTCGAAGTTTGCAAAACTCTTTGAAAGGTAAAACTTTTACAAATGATGATGACCTTAAGTCGCACTTGGTTCAGTTTTTTGCTGATAAGGACCAGAAATTCTATGAGCGCGGAATCATGAAGCTGCAAGAAAGATGGCAAAAGGTCATTGAACAAAATGGAAAATATATGATTGATTAAAGTTTATTCTTTGTATAAAAAAAATGAGTTTTATTTCACACTACAAAACCGAAATTACTTTCTTGCCAACCCAATATTAATCTTGAAGATCGAAAATCGAAACTCTATTCTCTCTTAAGTTTCCTTGTTGTTCAGGTAAGGTTTTCCATCACATTGTGCAATTGTAGAAAGAAAACTCTTTCAGAGAATATGTAACCGATCTGTCGGAAACAGACTCCAATTTTCTTTATGACATGAACTGTAGTGAAAATCTTACAGTTTAACCACGACGAAATTGAAAAATGAAAAATAAAATTCGTTTTACCGTCAGAGAATGTACTTTTTGTACTTGTTTTATCAATAATTCGATCTCTGATACGAATTATATTCACTCTCTGTTTACGCTCGAGTGAAATTAGCAGTGTTTTGAACATACTCTAGCAAATGGAGATCATACTGGTTGCGAAAATCACGAAGCTTTTCTTGAATCAACTACAGAAAGTTTCGAATTTGTTTGCTTTGTGTATATTCGTAGGAAGTCACCAGGCATACTTGTATAATTTTTTAATATTCAAGAAATTGTCACATCTATTTAGACGTATAATTTATAACTGTTTTTGTTACGTAAACTACCACAGTCATATATAAAATAATTGTAGCAAAAGAAATTTCACTCTGAAGCTTGTATTAATGTTTCCTAGAAATTTGTTTAATATATTAATGGAATTATTCAGTTATTAGTCAGTTTTCGAAACTATATTCATTCATTTTCTGATTCCACTTGTTTAAATAGACAGAGAAGATTAAACATTAGTTACTGAGTCTGTCGTTTGAAACGGATAATTTGCTAGCAGAAAATTAAGTAGAACGTAGCACGATTAGTCGGACATGAAAGTAGACACTTGAAGAAACGTGATTCAGCATTACGAAATGAGCTGTTCATAGGCTAAAGAAACTAACTTCACTTTTTGAATTTTTTTCAGATTTTAGTGCCCAAGCACTTGATTGGTGCTTAATTTTTTATATTTTTATATTTTTGTCAAGTTCATCACTTGCTACATGGACTGTTGAAATAAGTTAACAATACACAGAGTGTCTTGTAACTATTGTTACAGCCTGAAAGATTTCTTTTTAAATTCTTTATAAAAACATAAATCAATACTATGCATTAATATTTTTCAATATCTTGAATTACAAAACTAAATGGCAGTTATAACTACAGCGTTTAATGTAGTTTGTATGCGCTTATGATTGTCTGATAAAAAGATAGGAAAAAAATATACGTGTGCATTTGAACACGACTTGGCTAGCACGTCTGGTCATTGCATTCCGTTTCTATTTATTACCATGGCGAATGTACGCGTTGCAGATTAATGTTCAAAACCAATTTACTCGAAAACGAAGTCGCAAATGGACAAATGTTATTCCGTATTTTTGACATATTTTTTCACGTAGAATCATCTTATGCCCGTTTGTACGTAACTTTCGGAGACGCCCTGTATAGAACAGAATTTCTTGACAAGGAGCTACATTTCTCGCGTTAGGGTGGATACACCAGTAAATGAAAACGTACCAGTGAATGAACATTACACGAGTACATAAAAGCGAGCAACTTAAGTTATTAAAATAAGCAAATAATTAAATACTGAATTTTTTCATTTCCTTTTTAATATTTAACCAATTTTCGCGCCACTGCACTGGTTAGAACACATGTACTTAATAATGTTTATTCACTGGTGATATCTGTATTTAAAAAAAATTTAATTAATTATAGTTTTTCAATTTTTCAAATTGAAATCTACATGTTATAGAAAGGTATAGATATTGAAAAATCTAATTTTCATGTGCTAAATATTCATTAATATCATTTAAAATTCGGCTTTAATAGTTGTAAAATTTCTTATTGGTGCGTTTATCCTAATTAGTCCGCGAGCTGTGCTCTTTGCTTTCCCAATTAAATGTTCAGTCACCGATCAATTGGTAAACCTGTCAAAACTCGAAGTGTTTGTCAACTAATTCGTTCAGAGTGATTGTTTGCAAAGCGGTTTGTCCATTGACACTATCGTTTGGGGCAGGGCAGGGGGGTGTAACTGAATTCGTTTTATAAATCACTTTGAAGTTTCGATGAGTCTGCGGTGGCAGTCAGCTGACTACAGAGCACTGAAAAACGAGCGATTGCCCCAGCAATTTGTGGTTATTGGCTTCTCCAGTTTTTGCTGTGAATTTTACACACCTTGCTCCCCTTTTTCCCTTCTCAAGCACGCCTCCGTTTGTTGCATATATTTTCGTACACCCCTTTGCTGCCTGAAATTGGTCGTTTAATAAACACGTAATTCGCATCAATTCGTTTCTCTTTTTTTTTTTTTTTTGAACGCAACGCGCCATACTTTCGAGCAACAGGATCGAAGGCGATAGAAAGCGCAAGTTTCTCGTTGGCGGAAATGTGTGTTTTATTATCGAATATATTTTCGAGTTCCTCCTGGTTCGAAATTTTCTTACCAAAAAAATATGGTTTCGGTACTGATTCCCGGGTTTAATACTTTGCCAACCGTTCGAGTAACACGTGACCAGGTACAGACTCCTAGGGTCAGATTTCCTAGAATGTAGAACCGTTTTTGCTTTGACGCAGTAATAATCCAACAATTGCCACGGTCTTCTGGAAACAATAAACAATTATTTTAATATATTCTGCGTCGCTTAGAAGATAAATGAATGCGATAGACTGTGTGTTATAGTTTAAAATAAAATTGAACTGGGGTTCTTGAAAGAAAATTAAAAAAATGAAAGCAATAAACATTATAAATACCGCAGAAATCATTACGTTAGCTGTTTGAAGATGCTGTTATGTCAATTCCACTTTGCGGTAAACTGTAACTTTATTAGTACAATTTGACTGTAAAAATTCATTGAATAATAATATCCCAAAAATTTATTTATTGGAATAAAAATGTCTATTGAAAATGCACATGTTACGAAAGTATCATTATGTATTTCATTGAATTGTAATATAAGTTTATTACCAGTCTACTCTTTCAAGGCAAAACATATCAAATCGTTTGCACTAATGCAATAACTTATGAATTATAGAGGAATGAAATTGTTTCCCTAAAGTTCGAAAGAACTAAATATGTTTCCACATCGGCAGAGTATCTTCGACAAATGCATTGTCAAAACACATGCATGTCAGTATTTAAACATTGTTCTAGATGTACAGTTACTGTGTTATTGATACTAATCATGTTTTGACTGACCGTTTGTAGAGTCGCTATGTTAAAATGTAGATCCACGTATTCTACCCGATCAGTTGGCTATACACCGGTATCGGGAACTTTGACGGTTGGGAACTCTAGAGAATAACCAAATGATTACTCATTCAATAACTTACTTCTTACCTGTATTAATCCACATAGAGAATATATTTGCGTGTTCTGTAATTGTTCATTAGTTGAAGAACTTGGACTTACGCTTACAAACATTTGATCGATGATGCTAACACATGTTGAATATTTGATGTTATTATGTTCATTTTAACTATAATATAAACATAACTAATGTATTCAATAAACTTGTGTGGAATTTCAAAGAATTTAAGGAGTTGCTTAAATAATGTACTACATTCTTTATAATATCGGTTATCGAAGCATGTCCTATGTAAATTACGCCATTCAATTTTAAAAGAATAATTTACTTTCATTGATATTAATTTCTTCTTTTTATGGTTTTTAGGATGAGAAGAATCAAATATTAACAACCAATGCGTGGCTGAAATTGGTGAGTACATTGGCAGCACTAATTAATGTAGAATTTTATCCACAGCCTCTATATCAGAGTACAGGTATTAAAGTTAAAATGCTGAAAGTTCATGACGACAGGATTTATTTTCACAGGATCTACCGTCTGCCGTAATTCTAAAACTAAATAAAAAACAACAAGGGGGAAGGCAATCCTAAATTTCATTTAAATAAAATAAAGTCGCGTAACTATTTTCTTCATATTTAACGTGTCACATTCATAATCGTTTCCGATCTGAATTATTTCCTTCGAACAAAAAAAATACTTTTTACGTATAATTATTTCTTGGATGTCAGAAAAACTAGGAAACTAAAAAAAAGACGCCTCGTACATACTTGATCTCATCACTAGACGTAAGCTGAAAAATTTCTGACCCAGGTGAGACAGTTGCCTGGTTCGTCGGTCGTGTTCGATCTCGTGTCCATGATGGCGGAAGTTTCATTTGTCGACGGTATGGATCAAGTAGAGATTTCAATTTCCTTAAAATATGAACACACAGAAACGCAGGGACGACGCGTGGCGGAATACATATTTCCAATCTTTATGGAAATACGGTTGAACGCGAGATATCTCGAGGTTCCGCGTAACAGACTGTAAAAAGTATTGCCAACTAATAGAATCGATTTTTCATTTACATTGTGCTCGACGGGGCGGAAGTGCAGGGTACGGTTGTCGGCGTCAGTTCCTTCGTGTGTCGGTCGGTAGCTGGCTAGAGTTTCCTTCGCTTC